GCATGTCTTGTTCATTATTCATTAGAATTTAACAAGGTCAGCTGGGTTGTTTTGTTTCATTATCATTATTTTGCTTCAGCTTGCTCTAGCAGGCCAATAATGGAAAGACAGACACAGTTACCATCCCTTCCTCTGCTCAAGCAGTCTCTCTCACTATAAATAAATAATCTTTTTCAACAGCCTTCTAAGGCTGTAACTTAGACAAAATGTAATATTAAATTAATTACAATAACCTTTGACCATTCACCTTGTTATCCAGACTTTTCTCAAATCTACAAGAGCTGTCTTCATCTTTAGCCACCACCATGTCTAACGACCTTCAGGAGTTAAAACTATGTCATAGACCTATTAGTTCAAAATCAACACTATGATTTTCCTTGCCCATAAGGCAAACCAGTACATAAAAAGTTTTGCTACTGTCTCCACAACAACTAATGGGAATCACTTCATGGCCTCAGCTGGCTCTTGAAAGCCCCCTCCTGTTAGCCCTTTATCTATAATCTCCATCAGGGTGTTTTCCCCTGGCATATTTGCAGACGCTTGTCACAATAAAAAAAAACAAGCCATACAATGAATGCGGTTTCTGGTGATTGGTATTAGAGGAACACTCACGTTTCGGGGTCAGACTGTCTGTAACTCCTCACAGCGCATCCGCCCTAACGATAAAGGATGCTGCTGGCCTCACAGTCATCCGTTCCACTCTCATACCTTTCTCACATAAACACCTCCATCTTGAGATGCCCAGTGACTTTACGTGATCCACTCTGGCTTGGGTTGCCCCCTGTCTGGCCAATAGAAGGTCTTACCCGTCATTGAGTAGCCACTCGTGCCCACTGGTGACCGCTCTTTCCCATCACAGGCTGTTTGCTTCAACAGAACTCAGCTGTTTTCTAGAGCTTAGGAAAGGCACGTTCAAGAGTCACCAGAGCCATTCGGATTGCCTAATAGTGTTCACATAGGGAGACAGGTCAGAACAACAGTATTTAATCACTTAAATCCATTAACTATCTTAAAAGCAGCAACCTAGCTACTTGGATTATACTCAGTGAATTTAGATCACAACCGTACATTCAGTGTACATTTCCGTCGGCCCCTCCCCCGTTTCATGGTGGGGACTAAGATCAGACAAAGAAGTTACTGGTCCTAACCTAACCAAAGATGTCACTACAAATAGCTTATTATCACTTATGACACCGACTCAGGTAACAGCTTTTAGCTGACATTGACTGAGAGAGAGACATTGAATGAGAGAGGGACTGGTACACTGCACTCTGAACGTCTAACTTTATCTACCATCTTTTAACTCTATCCCAGCTTAAGGCATCTTTGCCAGATATTACATACGGTTTCAAATAAACATATTATTTATATTTGTCTTTTGCCCACACATCAGGAAATTTAGGCATTACAAATTTCCACTCAGATTGAGTCTGTTGCACTGGCAGTTTCAGCCACAGCACACATCAGATTCAGATAAGCAAACTGTTTCCTTACAGCCAATAACAAACTTATCTTTTGAAAACTAAACATCAGCTTCTAGTTCTTTCATGGTCAACTTTTCAAGCTGTTTGTTTAATCAGCATTTAGCAACTGTTAATTCAGTACGGCTTCTGCTTATTTGTTTTACATAAAAATAATTATTCTAGTTCTCAATAACGTTTCACATTTCTCAATCTCAATTTTAATTGTCAAGTTCTCAACCATAGTTTAATATTTGACTTCAGTTTTCTCTTGGAGTTTATCAATCTCCAATTAGGATTCACACTAAGTTTGACGAGGCAAGCACTCTCTGCTTGTGATACTTTTGCAGTTATTGTAAATCATCTGTGAGATTAGTCTCTCTATATCATCTAAAACCTTTTTAAAATGTTTAATTACAACACAATCATCCTTTAAGTTACTTTGATATATTTTGCAACTCACATTTGTTGGAGTCATTCATTTTACATCAACCTGTATTCATCAATTCACTTATAAAAATTAGTATTATAGATCTTTTCTTCAAAAGGATTCACTTTAAGACTTCAATCTTTTGACCTTGTTTTATCTCTTGTTCTTTCTCAGACGACAACTTTAATATCGTCATTTAAACACTGATCTACTTTCAAACTCACATTATTACCAGAAATGTGTCACGTGTTAAATGGCCCTACTGACCACAATCAAGACACTCTCTGTCATCTGGTGAATTTGTTTCAGCCTCAACTACAGCATCACACCCTTGAAACAGTGTGTCCCATTCAGGAATGCAAACAGAGCTACTGATTAAGCAGTTCTCTGTATTCTTTTACAGTCCACCAGTGGCTGATTTAATCATAATAACCCAATCATAATCTTCATCATTATTATTGGCAGAACATTAATTTTCATAAGCTGCAAAATATTGTTTTCACAAAGTGTCTGTTTAACTTTAGTCGCTTGTCCAGGGAAATTATCCCTGACCCAGAATTTCTTTCACTTGCTTCTTGTAATCATCGTAAGCAATACGAGGCTAAACATTTTAATTTTTCAGTTTCTTTGTTTGTTTGTAGCCAGTCAAGTTTTTTAAATTTCCAATCAAAATCAAAATCCTGACTACCATTTACTTAATCATTTCTGCAAATTTATTTAAAGTGAGGGCTTTAGAGCACAGCTGCTTACAGCGTTTGCTTTTCCTGTCTCACTATTTGTTTCAGGACTCTTCAGGTTACTGTCATATCTTAATCATGGTTCATACTCACCTGAAGTTATTGCAGAAATGGAGGCGGCGATCTTTGAACAACACAGCTTGGCTTCTGCGTGATGAAACTGCAAAGTATACTCCAAAATCACAGTTACATATACTGGTCCATGCCAATTTGGGTCACAACTTTTTAAATTTTTCTCTCGGAATTGTTCCTGATGCATCCCTGGCAAACAACCCTATTATTGTTAGTATCCCTAACTACCTGATTCACTTCACTAAGTTCGGGGATCCCCTATCTGAGATGGAAGAGATTGAGCAGGTTTACGGTGCCACTGGACCTCTAGCCCAGGGACGTGCTCTGCTGGGGTGGTGCTACACCAGTAATGCCCAGCGGGGCCCCCACAGAGCACGCTTCGCTTGCGCTGTCTGCTGCCGTTACCCTTAACGATGCTCTCAGCGACTTCTTATACTGTCAGCAGTATAATTAACTTACTCCTTCACTCGCCTCATCGGAGTGAAGCTTCACTCGCCTCATCGGAGTGAAGCTCTCCCGCTCTCCTTCAAAATCTCCTCCAGTCAGACAGCCCTAACAATTAACAAAAGCTTACTACCTTGTTTGTTGATTTGCCAGGGGTGTCACCGAGAATAATTGCCACCGCATCCTCCACCATAACTGTAAGGGGTGTACAGTCAAAGACCCAGAACCAGATATGAAGAATGAAGACCCGGAGTCAGAATTATAAAAAATTAAAGAAAAGTTTTACTGAAGATAGTTTGCATTTTCATCAGCAGAAGCCAGCTTCAAGACTCACACAGGAGTTCGTAGGCCGCCCCTCTTACAGTTACAAAGATCACAGCAGTTATACCATTTCCAAGGTCTAAGCTACGTCATTGCTTACAGGTTGAATGATTCTCATTGGCTAAGAAACATGAAAGCCTAAACAATTTAACACATGTGAGGAGATAGGGGTGCCTATCGCCATTAGTAAAGATAGTTGTCGTCCACTCATTGGATTTAGGCCTGTGGTGGCCTCGCAGGTTAGAGAAGGGCGCCGGGGTGTCTGGTCCGACCGTCCAGAACCTACATAGAATGTCATACGCACACACACAAATAACAGACACTAGCAAATAACAGCTCCCATCAAGGCTGAAGAGAGTCTGAGCTCCTTATTATCAGTTAAGTATACCAAAACATAATGCTAAAACATTCACTCGTTTGGGAGAAAAACAGATAACTGACATTTACTCCCAAGGAAGGAAATATACTGGAAAGAATACATTTTAATACAACAATTCAAGTTTGATAGTAACGCTCAATATAGCTTGACCATATGTCCAACGAAGAATCATATGTGCCCACGCTGCCTTTAGGACCCTCTAACCTTTCTACTGATCCCAGAGAAAGAGACAAACGGCCTTGTGGGTTCCGTGGCCTTCGTGTCCTGCGTGTACTAAGTGCAATCTCAAAGTAAGATTGGAATGCACCTAAAAGAAACTGGTTACTTGCATCCATGCATTTAAGAAAATATAATTTCACAAGCACAAGAATATAAAAATTATTATGTGATAATGAATATATTTGATTATTGATTTTTATAAAGGAAGTATATAACCATTCAAAATGATATATGATTATATATGTATTTGAAGAGGCAAGGGATTTTGACCAACCCTTCACTATCAAATATCAACAGATAAAAAATCTAAACCTGACGCCTTCTGCTAGAAATCTTATAATGGGCCGTGGTTGGATCTTCCATCAGGACAGCGATCCAAAACAAACATCAAAATCAACAAAAAATTTGTTACGGAGCACAAAATGAAGCTTCTGCGATGACCGTCCCAGTTCCCTGACCTGATGAGTGGAGTGATCTGAAGAGAAGAAGCTCCAACATGGATCTGGGAATCTGAAGGATCTGGAGAGATTCTGAATGGAGGAATGGTCTCTGATCTCTTGTCAGGTGTTCTCCAAACTCATCCGGCATTATAGGAGAAGACTCAGAGCTGTTATCTTGGCAATATTATAAGATATTGCAAAAAGTATTTAATAAAAGGGTGCCAATAACTGTGGCCAACGTGTTTTGGAGAAAAATATTTATTTCATAATGTGATTCCCCCCCCCCCCCCCCCAAGGATAAACGATGCAGATTTATTTTTTACAGCCAGTTTTGATCATATTTACCAGGGGTACCATTAATTCTGAGCACGACTGTATGATGATTTAATATGCATTTATGATTATATGATTATACTAGAATAAATTAAATAAAACAAAATATAAAGCAAGGTCCTCTTTTTTCAGTGTAGCCAAAAGGAAAGTACGCCACAAAACAACTTATGCAAGGTCATGGTTTTAATGAGATTTTAAAGAGACTACATAACTATGATCAATGTAAGACAGTAAGATAATAAATTACAGCGGAAGAGTAAAACAGCACCAGAATGCATCAATCACATTGCATCATGATGTACTGCTTCAGTTTTGTCTGTCCTCTATGCCAGTGAGATATATATATATATATTTAAATCATTTGTTTTAAATAAATTAGCTTTTATTGACGTCAAGTCAGCTGACAACAACAAGAACAGAAAAAGTCCATGGCTTAAAATAACATCAGTTTGCTTGCTGGCCAAGCCAAAGTGGAAAGAAGGTCTGTAATGTCAGAAAATAAATCACAAGGCAACTGGCATAAAAAGCAAATCAAATCAAATAAATTAACATTTACATCTAAAAAGCAACCTGATTGAATTTAACCTTTGATAGTTGAAAATGACCAGTTGAAAACTACACACCAACAATACTTATCCATATATTACATAAATAAAACAGCCACATCATAATAGAATGTCATAATAGAATTTAAGAATCTAAGAAATGAATCTAGACGTTTTACAATTTACTGAATATACATTTAACCGCTCAATAGAGTGGCTTCACAGTCACTTATGAAGAAGTCGTTTCTTTATATTGTGTCATATTCAAGTATTTTTTTTAATCAAACAGAATCCAAGGTCAAAAGAATTGTCAGATATTTCTTTAGAGAGTCTGCAGACTCTTGTTTTGGTATAATTAAGTATATTTAAAACCCTCATTTGCCATCTATTGTTGTTTGCTAAAAGAAACCATTCCATACTTAAAAGTGTATGAAGAAATAATTAGTAAGTTATAAAACACGTTTTTTTTTTTTAGAATACTACTTTTCTAAAGAAAAGCCAAAGCATTTAAACCGTCAACATGAGCAGAACAAACAATAACAGACATCCTCCCTTCTGAAACCGCCAGAGTCTTCAGCAGCTTGGACCCTAATTGTCCCTCAAGAGAAAACAAACCCGTGCACTGCAGAGATGCGGGATCCAGTAGGAAAGAGGAACGGTCCAATGAGGAGACGTCTAATGGGAGGCAACAGTCAACCACTGGGAGGGAGGAAGATGAGGTCTGAAGCTTGTGATTGAGAGATCACACAGTGTAGTCCAGCTCTGCATTCATCCTTGTGTACATTTCATAGATGGCATCAATAGTAGCTGTGAAGTTGACTAGAAACTGTCGCATTTTGTCCAAGCATTCTTCGTCCTTGACCTCTCGCCCTTTAGAAAGAGCTTTGAGAAAATCGGATCGGTATGGAGCGGCATATAGTGCTGCCTGAAAGAATGAAGACGAGGGAATATTAAAAGGTTTGTCTAAGCATTTACAGGCATCCCAACACGTCGAAATGTCTACATTTAACTCTTCGGAAAATGGAAAGCAATTTTTACGTGTATAAAAACAAAGTTTTATTTATAATATAAAATATTAATTTCATTATTTTTAAAGAAGCTTACTTTGAAGAGCTTCTGGACAAACCAGCCATGATACTTCTTCAGGGCCATCTCATAAGCTTTGGTGATATTGACTTTGATGAGATTAGGGTTGTTTTCATCCTTATCCCCGTCCACTAGACTCTGGAGAAGAACCTGGATAAAGCGTAGCCCCCTAACAGAAAAGCACAAGGGTTATTTTAAGGGTTAGTTCACCAAAAAATTGAAATTTTGTCGAACACAAAAGGACAGTTTAGCAGAGTGTTCTGGGTGCTCTTTTTTAACAGAATGAAACTGAATGGTGGCAAACGGTGGCAAAATCATAAAAGTAGTTTGGAACGACATTTTAGGGCGAGTAAATTATGACAATTTGAATTTTTGGATTTACTATTCCTTTAGTCACCATGAAATAAAATTGAAAATTCAGTTTTTTACGGAATGTTGCAGTATTTATTATTGTTACGTCTACATTTTAGCCAAGGGATGGAGGGACATGTAACAGAATAAAATGTGTGATGTGTGGATGCAGCAAGGTTCAGTTCTCAACCCCAGTGCACTCATTCATTCACTCACACACTTCTCTCTCGATCACTCACTCACTCTCTCACTCTCACTCACTCCCTCTCACTCTCTCTTAGTCTCTCACTCTCACTCACTCACTCACTCTTACTCACTCATTCATTCACTCACACACTTCTCTCTCGATCACTCACTCACTCTCTCACTCTCACTCACTCCCTCTCACTCTCTCTTAGTCTCTCACTCTCACTCACTCACTCACTCTTACTCACTCATTCATTCACTCACACACTTCTCTCTCGATCACTCACTCACTCTCTCACTCTCACTCCCTCCCTCTCACTCTCTCTTAGTCTCTCACTCTCACTCGCTCTCTCTCTCTCTCTCACTCACTCATTCATTCACTCACTCTCTGTCTCTCACTCCCTCTCATTCACTCACTCACTCTCTCACTCACTCATTCTCTCACTGTCTTTAACTCTCTCTCTCTCACTCACTCTCACTCTCTTTCACTCACACTCACTCTCTCACACTCACTCACTCACTCGCACATCATTGGAGTCAGGTGGAAGCCGTTACTTCCTGCTTACAGGAAGAAAAGAGAGAGAAACAAGGAGAAAGAAGGGGGTAAAAAAGCAAATACATCCTTGGAAGTAACATTTAAAGCTGCAGTCCGTAGCTTTTCCTCTTTGTCGCCATCTCTCTGTTCGAGAGATGGCGTGGTAGCACGCGGCGGCGCGGTAGCACGCAGCGGCCACTCCGGACCCGAAAATGGTGCTATTTTTTATATTCTTTTTATTTAAAGCCTGACTCTTGCGGCACATGGACATCGGAACAAACAGTGGTTGTGTCTACCATCGTCAAACACTCTTAAGCCACAAGCCTCATGCAAATACCAAGCTGCATGATGAACTACAGGAGACGCTTCGCGAACTCGGCCTGCTACGGAGACCAGGACTCGAGACCCCGGCGTCGCCTGAGGCCGGTGGCCGGGGTGGAGGACGCCGCAAGCGGTGTGCGAGGAAGCGGAAGCGCGGCAAGAGGGCGGGGGTCCATGCTAGGCTAAAAACAAACCCTAGCCGGCCGGCTCTCCCGTCTATCTTTCTCTCAAATGTTTGCTCCCTGGGTAACAAAGTGGACTATATCCGACTTCAGCAGACTACGCAGCGTGAGTTCAGAGACTGCTGAACCAGGACTCTGGACTTTGTTTTCATGGAGACCAGGACTTTGTTTTCATGGAGACGTGGCTCAGCGACAGAATTCCAGATGCCGCCATTCAACTAGACGGGCTCACCTCGTTTCGTGCCGACCGAAATACAGCTCTCTGCGGTAAGACTCGTGGTGGTGGCTTGTGTGTTTACATCAATACTGAATGGTGCAAGAACTCTGTACTAGTCTCTAGTTACTGTTCATCGCTGTTGGAGCTTGTGACAGTTAGATGCAGACCTTTTTACTTACCACGGGAATTCACCACTGTTATCATAACCGGAGTTTACATTCCCCCCAGCGCTAATGTGAACTGTATGGGTCTATGAGTGAACTGCAGAATGCTTATCCTGATGGACTGTTTATTATCGCTGGAGATTTCAATCATGCAAATCTCAAAACAGTGCTCCCTAGACTCCATCAGTATGTGGACTTCGCAACGAGAGGGGCGAACGCGCTTGATCTCAAACATCGCAGGCGCGTATCAGGCGGAACCCCGCCCCCCCCTCGGCTACTCAGACCACATCTCTGTTATGCTAATTCCAGCATACAGACCGCTCGTCAGACGCACAAAACCGCTACAGAAACAGGTGAAAACCTGGCCAACAGGAGCCATCTCTGTTCTTCAGGACTGTTTTGAGTGTACTGACTGGCACATGTTTAGGGAGGCTGCAACATATGGCGAAAACACCAACCTGGAGGAATATACAACATCGGTGACCAGCTATATCAGCAAATGCATTGATGATGTCACTATCTCCAGGACCATCACCATACGATGCCCTAAGCTGCCCTAAGAACTGCCCTAAGAACAGCGAGGGCCAAACTGTCCCGGGCCATCAGAGAGGCTAAGCGTGCACACGCCCAGAAAATCCACAGCCACTTCAAAGACAGCGGTGACACGCGGCGCATGTGGCAGGGCATCCAGGCCATCACAAATTACAGGACAACACCCATTGCCTGTGACAATGATGCCTCTCTTCCAGATGCGCTGAACGACTTCTACGCTTGTTTTGAAGCACAGAACGACGTGATGGCAAGGAAGTCCACTCCTCCTCCCAATGACCAGGTGCTGTGTCTCAGCGTAGCTGATGTGAGGAAAACTCTACGCAGAGTAATCCCACGGAAGGCCGCTGGACCAGATAACATACTGGGCAGTGTGCTCAGAGGATGTGCAGACCAGCTGGCAGATGTTCTTCCAGACATCTTCAACATCTCTCTGAGCAGCGCAGTTGTTCCAGCGTGCTTCAAGGCCACCACCATCGTCCCCGTGCCAAAGAAGTCCTCAGTGTCCTGCCTCAATGACTACCGTCCCGTCGCACTTACATCCATTATCATGAAGTGCTTCGAGAGGCTCGTCATGAAGCACATAAAGACCCAGTTACCCCCCTCACTAGACCCACTGCAGTTCGCGTATCGTCCAAACCGCTCAACGGACGACGCCATCGCCACCACCCTCCATCTGGCCCTCACCCACCTGGACAAAAAGGACTCATATGTTCGAATGCTATTCATAGATTTCAGCTCAGCATTCAACACAATCATTCCCCAGCACCTGATTGAAAAGCTGGACCGGCTGGGCCTGGACACCTCCCTCTGTAACTGGATCCTGGACTTTCTGACTGGGAGACCTCAGTCAGTCCAGATGGGGAACAGCATTTCAACCACCATCACACTGAGCACTGGGGCCCCCCAGGGCTGTGTGCTCAGTCCACTGCTGTTCACTCTACTGACTCACGACTGTGCAGCTATGCACAGTTCGAACCACATCATCAAGTTCGCCGACGACACGACCGTGGTGGGTCTCATCAGCAAGAACGATGAGTCAGCATACAGAGAGGAGGTGCAGTGGCTAACGGACTGGTGCAGAGTCAACAACCTGTCTCTGAATGTTGACAAAACAAAAGAGATGGTTGTTGACTTTAGGAGAGCACTAGGCGAACACACTCCGCTGAACATCGACGGCTCATCTGTGAAGATCGTTAAGAGCACCAAATTCCTTGGTGTTCACCTGGCGGAGAACCTCACCTGGTCCCTTAACACCAAGTCCGTTACCAAAAAAGCCCAGCAGCGTCTATACTTCCTACGAAGGATGAGGAAAGCACATCTTCCACCCCCCATCCTCACTTTGTTCTATAGAGGGACTATTGAGAGCATCCTGAGTAGCTGTATCACTGCCTGGTTTGGGTCTTGCACCGGTTCGGACCACAAAGCCCTACACGGGATAGTGAGAACAGCTGAGAAGATCATTGGGGTCTCTCTTCCCTCTATCAAAGACATTTATGTAAAACATTGTATTCGCAAAGCAATCAGCATTGTGGATGACCCCACCCACCCCTCACATAAAATTTGTATCCTCCTGCCGTCTGGCAAGAGGTAGGCTACTGAAGCATTCGGGCCCACACAACCAGACTGTGTAACAGCTTCTTTCCCCAAGCCATTAGACTTTTAAATAATCAAAAACTGGTATGATACACACACACGTGTTCCGAGTTGCACTTTACAAAACTGTAAACTGTCACTTTTTAACTGTCTGCTACCTCAGCAACTGCTATGTGCATAGAACCATAGACATAATAAATACATAGACGCCCTATTGGCCACGTACGTCAACGGCGCCGCCATGTTGGGGATGGCAACTTTCCCATACCTCTCATACCGGGAATTGAGAAAAATGCATGTTTTGTGCGCTGTTTGGGGCTGTACACATCGCCACACAATTGAAAACAGCTTTCGAGGAATTACCTTTCACAAGCAAGACTGAACGTTTGTTTTTGGTTGTATTTGGTCATGATTTAATTAGTAATAGGAACGTTCAGAGGATAAATTTAAAAATACTACTGTTATTGTGTCACGAAATGTAGTTTAAATAGTTTTTCAGCCGACAATGTAGTTGTTTAAAGCTCAAATATGTGGTTTGTTTATAAAGATAGCGCCTATTTAAAAATTTGATCTGACGTTTTCGGAGTTGTAAGATGCGCTCAGCGCTCGTCTACCCCGCCTGGAACAGCCGTCCCTCGGCCAGTGCTTTTGAAGTTTTGCCGCTGACTCGGATGTCTGTAGTCTAGTGGTTAAACATGAGATATAATTCGTCTTGTGTATATCTAACGGGCGATCTTTGGTCTCATTAATCTATAAATGGTTCCCTGGCAAATCGTTTTGGCTGAGGGCAAAGTGAAGTTTCATAACTTTATATTTAGGCTATTTTAACATTGTATCCTGCTGTAGGCTATGTTTGACTGAAGCTACTTCTGTTATAATGGCTATTACTGATCAATAAAACAGAAATTTAACAAAAAGAGTTAAATATTAAAGTCACTATTAAACTTATTTTTTATTGTGTATATTCTGTAATTGATATTTCTTATTCTATTGCTAATATTATAGTATTATTAATAAACTATGCTATTATCAATATTTGTATGATTGTATAATTGTACTTATGATATTATATAATTATACTAATCATTACTATTTTATTTGCTGTATACTATTTGTTTATTTTATTGACTAAACTATTTACTATTACTTCTCACTTTATGTTATATATACTATTTGCATTGCACTGTAGTTGTACCATAACGTATTATTATAAAGGATCCATCAGTTATCTTTGTTATTGCTAAAATCTGGTCAATCACAGAAAATGCTTTTTCCACAATAAGAAAACTTAAATTATATCTCAGTATGGGGGTCTTCACCATTCTTATCCAAGAATAAAAAGCCAGATACATGACAAGCCTAGCTTTGACCATTCTTTATTAAAAAAAAATATTTTACAAGTCTAAGTATCGAGATTTTAAATAACTAGAGATGGAACTTTTTGTACACCACATACAAACCACTGAAATCGGTTGATAAATGTAAAAACAGTTTGTTTTTATCCATAAAAAACGCAGCTCCCCCGTTTACTTACATTTGATTACAGTGCAGTCTTGCCCTCAGCAAAATGGCGGACCCGTTGACGTATCGCAGCAACGTTCCAAAGCGGCCAATAGGGCGTCTATGTATTTATTATGTCTATGCATAGAACCCTATCCCATAGTATGTTGTTTACATTTGTAATATTTGTTTGCACTACTCTGTATTGGTTGGCACTGCACTGTCTCAGTGTCACTTCTGTTATGTCCACTGTTTAAAAATGTTTTGTACTGTCCCATACTCTGCACACGTCTCTGCACGTGCACTTTATATAGGAATTTTTTATTGATTTTACATATTTTTATAACTAGTTTTATATGTGTTATGTAGCACCATGGCTCCGGAGGAACGTTGTTTCGTTCCACTGTGTACTGTACCGTATATGGTTGAAATGACAAATAAAAACTCTTTGACTTGACTTTGAAATCTGTAACTGCAGTGATTCGCGGAATTATCATCTTTACGTGGGTTGTAAATCGGCATGAAACAGCGCGGATGAACACAGTGCTTTGAGGCGAGTGCTGCTGTCAGTCACCGCGCTGTGTGGATACTGTCATACAGAATCACAGATTCACTTTTTGAAAGTTTGACGAACATAAGAATTTTCATAAGAAAATGTCTTCTGAACAAGTAAGTAAAATCCATTTTTGTTCTGACCAACTAAGGGGGAAAAAGCATTCGACATGATAAACTTCGTTAGATTTAATCAACGCGATTTACAGCAACCGTGCAAATTATAGCCTACTTTGTTCTCAAATTGTTCATGCTAACAACATCAGCATTGCGTGACTAATGTTAAATTTAATGTGTTTTATGGTTACCTGTGTAGTTCAGAATTCATATTCTCCATAATAGCAAAACGAGAAAGGCACAACAAAGGAAACTCCATAACTGTGTGAATTAAGAAAACGTACTGTACACGATTGAACTATTGAAATGTCTTACTTGTTCAGCAGAAAAAAGCCGTCTCTTCTTCCGTTTTGAACCCCTTTAAAACACGGAGTTCACTCACTTTTCAAAAGCCCCGCCGATGTTTAAATCCTTGTGTTCGCATGAGACGGTTTCTTTCTCTTTCTCTAGCCACCTTAAATCCGAAGTACGAAGTCTTTTGGGTTTTATAACTGCTGAATCTCCAGTTGACACTGATGATTGTTGTTTGGATCTTTCTGGATGCCATAAGTTTAATTATGTAAAGTGCTGCGAGAAAAAGCCTATACATCTAAACATCTCGTCACGCGCAGTATAGCCGGCTAGCCGAAACTCCTTCTTTATGTGTACAGGTGTGACGTAATGATGCAAAGACATGCTCGAATTTCCCGCGGAAACCCACCAGTACCATTGGAATTAAAATCATTATTACAAGCTAACCGTTTTGAATCTAGCTATGGCAAGCAGATAGTTTTGACCACTGGCAGAATATGTTTTTTTTAATATAATTATTTTGGATTATTTTTCACTTAAAAAAGTTACGGACAGCAGCTTTAAAATTCATTTAATCTTTCATCAAAATAACTTCCTCTCCCTCTTACATCTCCTCTTCTCAGATGACGTGTTTACTGGCACGAGAGCGAGACAACCTGTCACTCACATTAGATAGCAGCGATAGCAAACCACAACCATCCAATCAATTCAACATGGACAAAATCAAGTCCCACCCTACATTTGTTTACTGTTTGAGAAGATCTATCTATAGAAAAGCCGTTTTCTTCGTTCAACTATCGCAACATCTGTTTCAAGCCAACTTTAAAAGAAGAAATAGGAAGTTTAAAAAAAGTCCATGGAGAAATAGGAAGTTTAAAAGTCCATGTTTTATATTATGCAACTTTCATTTTTAAAATCAAAACTGTTTTTCAGATTCACTTCTCCAAAATCAAAAAACGAAAGAAGCGTTTCAGGCCCAGCCTTGCCTTTTCAGCCACATGAGGGCAAGTGTTGCTCCTGCTTTTGGCCACTCGGCTCCATGCATCTCTTTCTCTGCTTCCAAAATGTGCTGCAGGGTTTTAAACTTGGTGGGGTTGCTGTCATACACAGCTTTGATTTTCTGTGAGAAAAAGCAGAGGGGTGAGTGGAGTTCAGGTTGTGAAAGTTATATTGTTAATGCTTATCAACCGTGTATGTCACGTGGTAAACTTACAGTGATGTTACCCGCAATATCAGCCTTGATGGGGGAAAAAACAGCAGAGCCGAGGCAATCTAATAGAAGAGAACAGGCGAATAATATTTGCATACATACAGTACAAACTTTATAAACATTTAGGCAATTTTCATGTATTTAAAATGTCCCCTGAAGGGTTGCCATGAAAACGCAACATTCTTTCACAGAGCTGTGAGATTTTTTTTTACATATTAGAGTTTTTACAGGGAAGTGGCAAATACACAGTAAAAGTATTGCCGCTTCTGATCCCAAGAACTCAGAGTGAACTCTGACATTACCACCTTAAAAAAAGAGCACTGAATAATTAACCGTGCTTAGAGAGCATGACAGATTTCTGAAAGCACCCATGCGGTTCATTAAAGTTTCAGTACCACCCATTATCACATCGAGACCAAATGCTTTGCGAGACTGATATTGAAATAAACACCCGTGGAAATGGAAACACACTGAATCACTGATGTTTCCATTACTGCAACCAATGAATACTGTATATGATTAGATACATTTTGTATTGTATAAAATAAATGTTTGATTATGATTTACTGGGTTGTTTGCATGCATACACTGCTTAATTCTGCAAACATAACATAACATGCCCCCTCAAATTTACAGCTCTTCAGCTGGGCTACACAAACCAACAGAAGTGTCATGCCTATTCAAAATAAGCAAAGTACATTTTGAATGCAACTTCCGAAAAAAAAGCTGTATAGTTAGGTCGTATAGTTACTGAATAGTTAGTTTGATAGTTAGGTTAATTGTATTAAAAAACAGATTACTACTAGTCTTCAACTAGGGATCCATCGATATTAAAATTTTGGCTGATAATGGATAAGCTGATAATAATTTTCATGTTATTCATGTTATGGCTGATAACCAATAAATGCACTATATATATAGTCCATTAGTCCACTAATATTAGTGCTGTCAAATAGATTAATTGTGATAGATATTTTTTATAAAATTAATTAATAGATTAATATATGTGCATATATATATATATATATATATATCATTATATATCTATATATGTGTGTGTGCGTGTGTGTGTGTGTGTGTGTGTGAGTATATATAAATATACATAACACACAAATATTATAAAAACAAACTTTTGTTAGATGTGATTAATCGCAATTAATTGATTTGACAGTACTAATATATATATATATATATATATATATATATATATATTATTTACTATTTTGCCTAAACCAATTAAAAATAAAACACAAATACTAAAATCATTCATTCATTTAGACAGAGCAACATTACAACTTTAAAAACACTACAGCTAAAGATTACACTTAACAGTGTTATTAAATGATTTGAATTTTTAAAGATTAACCTTTAGTAAGAATTAAATGATAACAAAGGTAAACAAAATGTAAAAATAGTGGAAATGAGCATGCACAATTAAATATCTAATATCGGTCGACATATATTACAATATTGACCGATAGTGATCAATGAAAAATGGCATCAAGAAAGCCAGGACTGCCACTGGTATCCCATCACGAAAACAGATATGACAGGCCAACGATTGAAGCCCAATACAATCAAAATGCCAGAACTAAAAAAGCCTTAGAAAGTGATATACATGTTCCTGAAGTGAGAGCAAGGCCATTGCTAGCGGGGTGAAAAAGTGGGGACGATTCTAGGGGCCCCCGGCCTTAGGAGGGCCCCGCAATTTCAACAGAGGGGGACATACCCCATAAGCCTCTCCCTGGCCCCAGAACACGATTTCAACTGAGGATTTCACAGGGGACAAAGCCCCTGCCACGGAACGCGATTTAAAGGGGATCCACGGCAACAACCTGCACCAGGGCCCCGGATACCCCCGCTATGGTCCTGAGTGAGAGTACCATCTGAATAGAATCTCCCAAGATAGTAGTGATATGTTCAACAGTGTAGGGTTCAAATCAACTTAGCCCATTGGAAAGTCCGAGTCAACATCAGAATTTTGTACTGATAGCAAAACAAAAGGAGCATCTCTGGTTACAGAGAACTCCACAAACAAGCTCAAACACTGCTTACACTTCAGCTTTTTCAATGTGAATGAATGCCTTCTAATTACAGAGAAAAAAACACACACATTCACTCACACGTCTCACAATGACAGCCCTCCCTACAGTTCTTTCTGTGTTTGTACTCCACACAGGGCTTTTTGTGATAAAGTGTGAACTCTAAACAAGAGCTGGGAAGCTTAATTGTCTTTCTGTGGGAGTTAGCGACAATCACAACAACCAGTCTCATTATGACATCACATGATCATAAATATGATCTCCAATCACAGCCTGTATACAAAGTCCATCTACTGAGGTTAAGTGCCTTTATCATTCTTTCATATAGTTCACAGATCAATTTACCTGCGGACTCCACCAGGAGTTTCTAGTAGAACAAACATAAAACATATAAAATGCTTCTATTTAGTATTCTCTAATTTAATAAAAAATATCATTATCATTTGAATGAAAGAGTTTTAAATAAAATATGGCATTTAGCATAATGGACACCACAAGTTTGTGCAAAACCCTAACTCTTTTTTTCTTCTTTTTTTTTGTGTGCACATGGTGAATTTGATTAGTGACCTAGAAAAGATGTACATGTTTTTAAAAAAAAAAAATCAAAATCCTAAAATAGTTTATTTTAAATTTTAAATTCGATTTTAAATCAGACTTTTGGAGTTCTTTGCCGTCACTGGGAATTGTAGTTTATTCTCTTGCCGTCATATCCAGTTCCTTTTACAACTTCATTAAGAAAATGACCCTTTTAGTGATGGCTTAGTTAAAAAAATAGAAGAGTACATTGAGCACTGATGTGAACACTTCAGGCTTGGCGTTTCAAGTGGCAAATTCATTTCAAATGCATTTTTCATATTAATACCAAATGAGGCTTTGAACAAAGATGTTCTGCTGTTCAGTTCCACCAATGAATAGAGCAGGGCAACTCAACACCATTCTAATCAATTTTCTCAACTTCCAAAATCGAGGGCAGCAGATTAAATTATGCATGTAATAGGTTTGTTGCCTTCTTTGTGAAAAGAAATTTGAGCCAAAAAAAGATTAGTCCTCAATAGCAAACAATGGCTTCTGCTTGACAGCTAGGCTTTGTCTGACTTTACTAACAACTTCTGAAGAACACATATCTTGATCAGGAGTGGAAAATCTCACCCCTGATCAAGGAGCTGGAATATCCACAAAATCAGATGACATCAAACTACTGATTTTTGTAACAACACGTGTATAATTATGTAATAGAATCTTTTTAAAACTCTCATTCTGTAAAGACACTTTATGGCAAAATGCATGCGTTTAATTGTTACTTTGTTTCCACTCTGAAGCGATGCGAGAAATGGATGAATGTGGAAACAAACATTGGGCATTTTTGTAATAGCTATTTTTGCGTAGCATAATGAAATAGCTACTTTAAAATAACTTTTTGACGACCTGAACAAGTTACAAAGAAAACTGAAAACTTTCAAATCTAAAAATATTGTTCTAAATATCATTTTAAAACCCAACTCATCAGGCCGTTTCATGACAACACAGAGTTCATGCTCAAATCTGAGCTCAAATGAGAGATGACGGAAGAACCTACCGAAGAAAGGAGGAAGGTGAGACACCGCTTCGAGAAACGGCCGGGTTTCCACTTGTTTGTCGGCTGGAAGTTGCCGGAACTGGTGCTCCATAAGAAGAGCCATTATTGCCTAAAGAGGGCGAAAGTGACTTTTTTTTGCCTACAACATAAGACGAGGACAACACAGTAGAAATGAAGGCAGAACCCGGAACTACCGCCGGACAGACAGACACAGCGTTTACTATTGCAGTTCTTCTGCTAGAGCTGCACTGCACAGCTGGACGGCCCCCCTGCACCGCCCCTTTATGCAAATATATGTAGACACATCGCGGAAACATTCAACATGTGGGCGGGGACTCTGCGAAGAAACCAATCATATCACGGGGGCGGGGTCAAAGCAGTCAGAGTTTATTCTCCTTAGTCCCCACACTTTACAATGTAGTCATGAAAAATGTTGCTGCACATTAAATAGAAAAATCTTCTTTTTTCTGTTACGGAAATATGTAATATTCAATATTCACCTTTTTCCTTCTATCTGATGTTATTGTGATGTATAACACATTTTATTTTTATTTTTAATAATCTGTTAACACAGATTCATCAGATAAAATATTACAAAATAATAAGAGTTGTAAAGAGCAGTAAAAAAAATTAACACCAAGCTTTTTGTAAATGTTTCTTCCCTTATTGAGGCTTAGCTTTAGGCAGATTCCGTTTCGGCTGGCCATTTAATACACAACTGATCGGGCATTAAATCATTTAAAAAGTGTTTTTCTTCTCAAAGAAAATGAATATGTACCTTAATTTCACTATTGCTTATTTGTGGATTATTTAAAGAATATAACATAATCAAAGAGCAGCTCAGGTTAGAATCTTGGCTGAAAGTTTAGGGGCCTCCTATAGTTAATAATTAAAATGTCCTTTACCCTGTTGCTGACATTAGAGGTTTAAGCGGGGAGTCTTTCTGACGACAATTAGACACGATTATCTGGTCACCATTAAACATTCAATGCAATGTTTAATTCATGCACTGGTAGGCCTAACCTACAATGACCCAGAAAGACATGTCATTGTCTCTTTATTATACTTGCATAAAATTTGCAGCTTTATCTCACACCTCAGCTGACTGCTCATTTTTAATCAATATTTAATCTTCTATAGAGTATTGTCACCTTCACTGCAGGTCTTGATCACGCTTGAAATATCCCTGGAGATCAAATAAAATAAGACTTCTGAATAGTAAAGGGCCAGCATGCCTGGACTATAGTGCAACAGTCAGGTTCCAATCCAAAAGTAAAAAAATCCATTATTTTTCTCCACAGGGATATTGATTATTAACGATAACTTATAAACCCGTTTAAAGACAGCCTTACTGTGAGCTGCGAGGTTGTTAATCGATAGCATTCGCTGCTGTTGAAGTCGTCAGCCTGCATTATTTCAAATTAGTTTTAAAATAATTGTGTTTAACAGCAGAATTTGTGGTGAAAAACTACATTAACCGTGATGCTGTACAGAGAATCCAATCAGAGAGCTGAAACAAACAAAACGCACCAAAAGGTCTCTTTAGGCCCACCCACTCCCATGAAGCACTGCAAATCACCTAATTGAGTCCATATACAAAGTCGATATATACAAATATGATATGCATATTTTGCCATAAATTATATAGGCTATACAATCTATATTTTTATATAGGCTAGTTTTATATTTCTACATCATTTTTATGCTGTTATGCTGTTGAGTACACAGTCTTGATACCTTTGTATTTTTGTCCGATTTTTAAACACTTTTTTTTGCTTCAAATCAAAGTTTAATGTTATGATTCACCTCGTAGCTGGATGACTTGGTTCATGGCTTATAACACGTTAACGAAGACGAAGACCCTATGGGAGAAATGAATGGAAAAAATACTTCCAGAACCAACGCCGCTGAAAAAGTGGGCTGGCACTGTTGCACTCAATAAGTCTTTTAATAATTTTGTATTCTTTTTGACGCATTTTAAAATGGCCAATGGGTGATTAAATTGTAAGGATACAAACATTTAGTATCATTCAATAGCTATTTTGGATTAAACCAGCCTAGCAGAGTTAAAATTGTTTATAAGATTGTAAGTGGGCTTTGGCAACTATATATAGCCTATATTAGCAATTTTAAACTTGATATCATATTCCCATATTTATCTGCAATAAAAAAAGTAGCCTACTATTAAAAATCCACAACAAAATCGCTTCGCTCTTTCAACCTGGTTTGTGCCTCGCTCCACGCCGTAGGTAACCAGGAAGTAGCGCAGTAACCAAGTAGAACGCTTCCCCTCTGGTTATTTGTTTACCCGCCCGCTGTCGTTAACGGCTTTCCTCTTTACTACATTTTTGTTTTCATATTATTCATTTAAATTAGGAGAGCACCATAAGATACACGCGTCAGTGCGGTAAATTCAATGCTTTGAACGTGATTTTTCTAACGGTTTTAGCAAGCAGAGCCTTATTTGCATTGCGAGCGATTAACGTTATAATAAGCTTCAAATGCAGTAAGCATGTTTTTATAATTACAGCATTTTATGGATTAAAATTGCCTGCTGGAATGATTGTAGGTCAAGGTCTATCATAAAGGTCGGGTTATAAATAAAGCTTGAGAACGGAACTCGGTTGAGCGTCAGATGATCCATGGCTTTACCGACGCTTTCAGCGCACTGGCCGGGTCGAGTGCGGGCTCTGGAGAGGCAGCTGGTGCGGCAGCGGGAGCAGGAGGCTCGCTGGAGGCAGCAGTGGGAGCTGCACTCGCAGTACTTCAGAGAGCAGGAGGTCCGAAGCAGCAAACAGTCGCAATGGAGCTCACGGCAGTCCTTCCAGCGCAGGTACTGATGGCGAATTACTTTCATTATGCCTTCCTTTAGCTTGTGTATTTGAAAAAACACCTCTGCCCACATCAAGGTTCGTTCTGGGATCGGTCAGTTTTTGATAACTTGTTTTCTTTTCGTTAGGACAGGTTTTGTATTTCTTTTTGGAACTGATTGATCATAGGCCTCACTGATCTGAGCTTATGCACCTCAGTTTTTTAGTGGAATAGCAGTATTTGTGGATAATTTTGTCCAATATTCAATAGAAAATAAAAAAAATTACTATCATACTAGTGTGCTTTAAGAAACTTTCTAAAGTATGAATATTTAGTTTTAATGCACTCAATAACATAATTCATTTAAATTGTTACAATGTGGCATGTTGGTGTATAAAAATTTTTTTTTGCTCTTCACTTTTTCCTCCCTGCGAAGTAAGAACTTTGTAACACCTAATAAGTTATTCATGTAAATATATGGGTCATTCAGGAGACAATATAATTCAATGAGCATGACTTAATTTTGAAACTGCCTTTTAAAACTTTTATAATTATCTTTAATTTGTTATTTTACGATGAATATTTCTCATATCACTGTGTTTGGCTGGTTTCACTTATACAGTTAATGATAGAACAATATGAAAAATCCCATATGTATTAACTGGCTTTTGCATCTACGGTAAATATTTATGTTTCTATAGCAAAGTTACAAACTTCTTTTCTTGGCCTTTTAGTATATCAGCATTTCAGCGGGAGCGCATGAAGGAGGAGAAGCAGCGGAAACTAGAGGAACGCAGGGAGCGTCTGAGGACGATGCTCCGGCAGGAGACAGACCAGTTGGAGGCAGAGCTCAGAAATGTTGTGCCAGACAGAGCCACACTGACTAGACAGCTTGTGGAAAAAACAGATGGTCTCCGGTCTGCCAGGGAAGAGAGGAGGAAAAATGTATGGGCGCTAATTGTTTTGTCACAAAATGATGTTATGTTACACGTTTGAAAAGTGTCTGATTTGTATTTTCTTCAGCTTGCACAGGAGCTGCTGAGGGAGCACTGGAAGCAAAACAACTCAGATTTGCGGAAGGTCAGTCATATATCAGTAATGTATATGAAGAAAGTTAGTTATGAGTATTACTATGAGGCCATTTGTAAGGAAACACTTTTTTAAAGTAAGAATTTATATACACTACTGGAAGTTTGGGGTCAGTAAGACTTTTGTAAAATAAAGTAAACCATTTTAATCAGCAAGAATGCATTAAATTGAAGTGACAGTAAAGACGTAAATTACATTTTGAAATATATTCAAATATAAAACAGTTATTTTTAATTGTAATGATATTTCAAAGCATTACCATTTGAATGTATTTTTGATCAAATAAATGCAGCCCTGCTGAGCATTAGGGTCTTCTTTCAAAACCATTAAAAAAATCTTACAGACCCCAAACTTTCGAAAAGTGATGAAATCATTTTTTTCCTGCTTTTAAACCCTCAAAGTACATTATCTGGCTGTTTACATCCACTGAAAGTTCCTTACTGTTACTAAAATTCTTCCTTTTTTTAAAAACTGAGAGATGAGTCAAAATTATTTTTCTGTGGAATCAAAGTTATGCATTTCTGCAAAACATTTCTGCCAGGAATTGAACTCATCAAGAACCAGACATGAGTGTAAGTTAATAGGGCATGGGATATGTTTCTTCCATGACTGATCTGTAACTCTGAGCTCGGGATTTGGTTCCAAATCCAAACACACGCAACCACTTTGGGAGTATTATTTAATCAGACATCTCCGTGTCTCAAATGTTTGTGCGTACAGGTGGAGTCAGGATTGCACAAAGATCACGTTGTGAGCCAGTGGCAGTTTCAACAGCAGGAGAAAAAACAGGTAAGACGTTCACAGGGAGTGTTAAATGCCAGTGCTGCCATGTCGGCTCATGCATGAGTGCTGATCAGTTGAGCATCACGTAACATTAACCATCTTGAGTATGTGTACATATAATATAGTTGTGTCCTAGTTGATGGTTCTAAGAAAATGACTTTTTTGGTTTAACATTAAAATGTAACTCTGTTCTGTAACACTCAGGCTGATGAGAGAACTCAGGTGGAGAAACAGCGTTTTGAGAACGAGTATGAGAGAACCAGACGGGAGGCTCTGGAAAGAATGAAGGAAGAAGAGGAGAAGAGAAGACGGGAGGAAAAGAAGCGAGCTGAAGACCTCCGCAAACAGATGGAGGAGCTCAAACTACGAGACCAGGAAGTACGGAATTACTGTAGATTAGACTTATACGTGTAATGCATTAAGTTTTGCCTGTCACAACAACAATAACCATGAGACATAAACAAAGGCCATAAAGATCAAGTAGATTCATTATATTCATTTTTTTTTTTTTTTTTTTTGTTTACAATAAGGTCCCATTACTAAAAGTGATTTAATACATTAACTAACA